GAAAAATTTTATGATGAAGTCACACACACATGAGACGAGAACAGACATTTTCCTCTATACACCTTGACCTTCATTCATGATACGGACAAGGCAATAAAGACTATTTTTATTTCATGATCATTTCCTTTAGAAATGCCTTTCTAATAGCATAAATACATCAAGTAAAATTGCTATAAATCAACATAATAGACAGACCATATGTTGATTTTAGCATACGCATATTGTTTTCTGTTTTTGCATTCCTTTGCACCAACGCAAAAGAAAAACAAATGTGAACATACCGCGTTGCTGTAAAAGGGCTTAAACTATAGCTTAGTTCAGCACCAATGATCAATTGCAACATGCATTCTAAGTTGACGTCCACAGTCGACTGTATTTACATTTATCGTATTTCACACTAGATACACACAGCATGATCAGGTTGTTGTATTGACCTGTATACATTGTTAAACTCAAAACATGCTGCTGGGTTCCAACAAGTTCATGTGTGTTATGATATATTACATGACCCAGAATCAACAAGACAGAAACAAGAAATTGTATTACATAGTCCCTGTGAATTCTCAAGTTTAAAAAATATATCAAGTCTGAACATGAATAGTCAGAGATACGGCACCAAAACTGCATTCACTAAAACAAAATGGCCACCAGTTGACCATTTTGAGCCCGATCTGATAAACAAAGTGACATGCATTAATGTCTCATAAAGTACAATGTACATACCAAGTTTGAACAAAATCTGCGTCTGTCATTATCAAGTGGCTGCCATATTTATTACCCTTGTTAAAAACGCTGGTGTTAATGAAAGATTATGAGATCCTTATATTAATAATCTGGCAAAACTTGCACCAACGTAGCTTTTCCTAACAAGAACATGCATCAAGTGGCTGCCATATTTATTACCCTTGTTAAAAACGCTGGTGTTAATGAAAGATTATGAGATCCTTATATTAATAATCTGGCAAAACTTGCACCAACGTAGCTTTTCCTAACAAGAACATGCTAACAGTTTCAACTGTACATTGACAGATAACATTTATAGAATGTTACAGATTAATGAACTCTTAAGTAAAATTACAAACTTCTATTGCCACTAACTTATTTATGTGCTGTATCACTTACTGTTTTTTTGTCAAGAATGATGAACAGAACAGCATGTGGAAATTGTACACTGTGAGTTTGAAGAGACAGGTGGTACAAAAGTTATCAATAGTCTTCCTGCTTTCAAATTTTATATGTTTCATAGAAATTACTGTTCAGAGTGCCAATCAGTTGACACAGACACAAAAACCAACACTTGGTGCGCATGCGTACCAAGGTCGATGGTAACAAAGACAAACTGTTTGTCTTTCCACATCCACAAAAAAAAAGACACACACAGGTGATTTCAACACCCAAAGTCTGTGGTATTCTTATGTATAACATACAGAAAAAACTCAGCTGGTAAACCAAATTGAATAGGTTTTCTGCAGAGCAATGTCTTGGGTAGAATACCGTAGATCTTTATATATGAGCTCCTTAATCCCCTGTTTACTACTGCATGTAACCATTTTACGAATGTACATTACCTGTATTACTATAGTGATTAATAATGCCATGATCAAGTAGTGGTCCACAATAAAATTGATGTCCTTTGGGGTAAGAGCAAAATAATAATGATGGCATGAAAAGTATCCAATGAAAGAGAAATCTAATGGGAGAGTGGCTTTCACTTACTTACTTACTCTTAGATTATTCCCTGTGTCTAAAGCACAAGGCTGGGTAAATTATAAGTTCACATGTTGAAATAATGAACCAACTGTCTGCTGACAAACTTATATAAATCGGAAAATTCTTTTCTTTTTACATGTAACTAAAAAGCAGAATTCATCAAAGGCAGGTGGTGTACCCACATTATGGCTACTGATGAAACTGTGCAACCAGCAACTAGAGCGTGTAAAGTTTGTTATGGTACAGGGTGATGTAGGTGCATTTCTCAAATTTATAATTTTCTCGCTTGGCCCAATTATTAAAGTTAAATTCAATCTAAGAGCAAAGTGCTGTTTCTCTCAGTGATATTCATGTACATGTGCCAACATGTGGGATAGATTCCCAATAATAAATTTGGCAGTGCGAAAGCAAATGGATGTGGGTATTATTTTTGGACAGAGTAATTTCAGCAAGTTTGTGATTTACGTAAGTTTGGCAGGCAAGATCCACTATCACAACTTTTTCTAATACATTGAAGTTGTATTTTATTTATAATGATCAAACTTTTGTTTGTCTGATTTTCGGAAATGATACATACTGATTAATCAGTACCACAATGCAAAAATAAAACTGTCAAGTCGATCCAGGGAAATCGCGAATAGCACTACCCTCACCACGGCATTATGCAAATTTTCTAATACACATGCACAACATTGAATCACTCCTCAACCCTTTCACCAAGTTCACTGTTGATCAGACATGCAGCAGAAACGATAAAACAGAATATATGCAAATATATGCAAATAAGCTCATTAAACATGCATGCAACTGTTTACCTCCACTGTGATCAACCAGCAATCTAACTAACCAGTCTGGCACCCATTTATGTTAGTTAACACAATGGGTAGCAAATAGTCAGATATTCAAGTGCTTATTATTCACCATGCACTCACTGTAAGTGACAGTGAGCATCTGGAAGTCAGCGTGAGGTCACACTAGGATCGAACAATGCTTCACTATAGTGGAGACAAAACATTCAACTGGAAGTGAGAAAGACCTGGTGGAATAAGATAGCAATCTGTATCCTATATTTTTACAATTATTTGTTCAACTTCAGAATAAGCTCAGGATTTACGTGAAAGCTCAAAAGCATAACTTTTTTTCATTATCTGTTTTTCCAATGCAGTTTAGCGATTTCACCAGCAAAATAAAAAAAAATCCAGAGCAGTTAAGCAAAGCTGCAATGGAACTAATATTCCATGTTTGCTGTAAAATTAACATAATTTAGCAACTACAATAGCAATATACTGATGATAATTGTGCCTAAACTCAGTGGACTAATGAGGTATACATGTACACAATATAGAATGTAAACACAGTATATTTCATACCTACCATACATACATACATAATATTAATTTATATAATTATGAAGTGTTTTGATTTTTACACCTAATATATCATTTAAGATAATGGGTTTTTGAAGGCAGGGACAACTATGCTCACATAATTCTCTCTAGAAAACAAAGTGACCAAGCAAAGAGTGTTTTAGTGGTAGGTATTGGTAATAAAATATTGTGTGTGTTTTGGTAGTGGGTATATAGCTTAATATATAGTATTGGGTGCTGTTTATAGATACAGGTAGATGGGATACCATTAGACCCGTTTTGGTAGTAGGTATAGCTATCTGGACATACATCTATAGTACATACATGTAGGTATGATATCATTGGATGTGGTTTGGTAGTGGGTACAGGTGGGTGAGATATCATTGGATGTGGTTTGGTACTGGGTACAGGTGGATGGCTGGTATACCATTGGATGTGATTTGGTACTGGGTACAGGTGGATGGCTGGTATACCATTGGATGTGGTTTGGTACTGGGTACAGGTAG